AGCAGGAATACCTAGCAAGATCAGAGCTTCCAATCTTTCCCCTTTCTGTGAGAGTATAACCTGCTTCTGGTAAGTGTTTCTTGAATTTTTTTTTTTTTTTTTTGAAAACACACTATGATCCTGCTCCACCTTCTCTTCAGATCCATAGACAATTAACTTGAATTTGGAAGTGTTTGGAGGCGAGAAGGTTAAAAACCCTGAACTGGATGATTAAAACCAGTGAAACTAAGGAAGAATACTGATATATTGAAGATATTTTCATAAAGCTTTCTACCCTCAGAAACCACTTCAGACTAACTAGATACATACCACAGCCATGTATAAGACCAACCATTCTGACAGGGCAATCAGCTACATAGTTCAAGAGTCACATACAGCATCTGTCAGAGCTCAGTAATGCAACAGCTCTCTCTCTCAAATATTTAATTACATCTGCTATAGGCATTTGTAAGGAAATACAAGTAGAAAGTTCACTTGTTAGGGTTTTTTTCCTCAATAGTTCAGCTTTTAATGAAGCACTTCAGTTAAATATCCTTTGGTTTTTAATGCACGGTGTGGTAAACAGTTTGCCTGAAGTTTAAATTTTAAACTAGTGCAAGACATTAGGAATCTTCCTCCCCACAACTAATAACCTCAGTTACACAAGACTGTTTCTCAACTGCGTCAGTAAAAAAAAATTTTCAACAGCAAACATGCAGGCATTAGATTATTGGAGTCGGTATTGGGACCGGTGCTGTTAACATCTTTGTTGGCAACACAGACAGTTGGGATCAGGCGCATCCTCAGCAAGTTTGCTGATGATACCAAGCTGCATGGTGCGGTGAACACACTAGTGGGAAGGGAGGCCATCCAGAGCGACCTGGAGAGGCTTGAGAGGTGGGCCTGTGCGAACCTCATGAAGTTCAACAAAAATAAGTGCAAGGTTCTGCACATGGGTCAGGGCAATCACAAATCACAAATACAGGCTGGGCGGAGAATGGATTGAGAGCAGCCCTGCCAAGAAGGATTTGGGGATACTGGCAGATGAAAAGCTCAATACGTGCCAGCAACGTGTGCTCACAGTCCAGAAAGCCAACCATATCCTAGGCTGCATCGAAAGAAGTGTGACCAGCAGGTTGAGGGACGTGATTCTGCCCCTCTACTCTGCTCTGGTGAGACCCCACCTGGAGTCCTGCATCCAGCTCTGGAGCCCTTAGCACAGGAAAGGCATGGACCTGTTGGAGCAAGTCCAGAAGAGGGACACAAAGACGATCAGAGGTCTGAAACATCTCTCCTATGAAGACAGGCTGAGAGCACTGGGGTTGTTCAGCCTGGAAAAAGAAGAATAGGTTCCAGGGAGACCTTATAGCAGCCTTCCCAACACCTAAAAAGGGAGCCTACAAGCGAGTTGGAGAGGGACTTTTTACAAGGGCATAATGATAGGACAAGGGGCAATGGCTTTAAACTGAAAGGGGATAAATTTAGGTTAGATATAAGGAAGAAAATCTTCACTATGAGGGTGGTGAGGCACTGGAACAGGTTACCCAGGAGAAGTTGTGGATGCACTCTCCCACAAAGCGTTCAAGGCCAGGCTGGATGGGGCTTTGAGCAACATGGCCTAATGGAAGGTGTACTTGCCCATGGCAGGGCACTTGGAACTAGATGATCTTTAAGGTCTCTTACAACCCAAACCTTTCTATGATTCTAATACAGTTGAAGTTATAGTCAGGACAAAATTATGCATAACTTATTATACAAAAATCTTCTGTGCAACCAGTCCTTAAAAAGAGACAAGCGAGTTTGAGTTAAAGTCTTCGTGTTTTTGCACGAATTAAAAGCCTAGAAATTAAACTTTCTGATTTTTAAACTAATGAAATTCTAGCCACAGCAATTAGAATGTACTACTTGCAAGATATAATTTCCCATTCTCTTGGGCTGAGATAATACATCAGACATTATTTGTTTCAAAAGAAGTTTGCTGAACTGTTACACTCATGTCAAATGTCTGAAAAGGGCCTCAAACTATGAAAAAAATTTAGCATAAAACACTTCACATTACAAAATATCTGCAATTCCCTTGCATCCAACTCATCTTTGAATCTGTCAAATTTACTGCATTTGTGTTGCTGCTGTAAGTAACACATGGATGTGGTGGGATAAAACAAACCTGGTTAATAGCAAACTGACAAAATACTCTATTCCAATTATTTACACACAAACTACAAAAGAGACTCAGATTTGGCCATACTTGCAATTCACACCCCTCTATAGAGCACTAAGTTTCAGGAAGTCTATGTCAAGAAAAGAATGGCTTCTCAATAACAAAGCTGCCCCCCCCCCTTTTTTTTTTTTAGTATTTAAATCAAAAGGCTCTACAGAAAAGCCTCAACTCATCCAAAGTAGAAAAGAAGATAGGACTATTTATTCAGTGCTGTTGAAGATGCAAACCCTAAGGCGTGACTGGACATTCTACAGCTGAGCTCCGAAGTTACATCAATTAAATATTTTTTAAAATGTGTGAAATAACAGCAGCTTCCTCACAGCACACTCAAACTCTAATGAAGGATCCCAACGCTCACAAAATTCAATACATATGGATATACCTGGCTCTTTTAGTTACCTTAGTAATTTTTGCTCCCTCCCATTCCTAGCTCTCCCACAGCATTCTCTGTATTATTTTTAACAGCACCACACTGAAGCAGCTTAAGAAAGTTTTTCTTTAAGGAATGCAGTTTTATCAAGTTGTGAACAAATGGTAGACTCCAAAGTTTATATTTCAAATCAAGTAATACAGCCAATAGCATGTTTGTCCACCAAACAGAAATGCTTGTAATTTCTCCCCCACCCTGCCCAAAGGGAGAGCTCTAAGTTCCTAGCAAATTAGTCACCCAAACAATATTCTATTTGGACCAGGTTATAAAAATAACAAAACCAAGTCATTGATACTCAGGCACACAAATCCAAAATACATCTTTGTTCTGACATGAAGAGAGGAAAAGATGAATGCACTTCCTTTGAAACAAGTTTCCTTCTTTCAAAAGACAAAAATATCTCATCACCAAGTCCAGAGACAACCACATAACAGTTCACACTGTACAAACCGGTGTTCCCACTGTTATGGGAATCAATGAAAGCAACAGGCTGATGAGCTTACAGAGATGAAACCTGGAAGACTTAAGTGGCTCAGGATCCAGCTAAAATGGTGCTCTGATGGTTTCCTCAGACAAGTTATTTTCAGTTTTCCATCTAATTTCCCAGTTTTCCATATTACATTACATTTCCAAATATTACTTTGTTTTAAACCTCTCATAAACTAGTTCTGAAAAATCCTAACGCTTTTTGACATGTTGAAGCCTACGTCATCATTAGATCATTAAGATACATTAATCTACTCCTTATGACAGTATTTTTAAAATTCTAGTCAGCAAAACCAACAAAGCCATCAGAATTTGAATACTCTGAAGCATCAAAGGAGCTATCATTTCCAAAGGTCAAAATTTTACCTTCAGCTGCACTATGAAGACTTGTTAGTTTTCAGTTAGAACACTTTAAATAGAAAAAAAATGAACCACTTTGAAGTTTGTCAAAAGAGTAACTCACCTATTACACAGAATTCCACAGATCACAGGGATATTTTCAATAAGAACAATGGGAAGTATTTATTTTCTTGTACCTTTGAAAATACTCCCCCATTCACCCCAAATAAATTAAGCCTACTTAATTATAAAAAGGTATTGAGGAACTGATTCTAAATTGTTTTTAATAAAAATAAGTTATTAGTGTATATATTTATATTTAAAGAAAATTTTTGATCTTCAGGACCACCCAACTGCCTTCATATATCAAAATACTTCAATAAACCTAGAAGATTATCACTTAGCATATAAGTGATACAACCAGAAGTCCAACATAGCAATGTAATGCTATTGTAAAGCTCCAGGTGACCAGCCTCTTTAATCACAAAAGCAATAGTCCTCAAAAGAAAAGTAATCTAGTTGAGGACAAGAGGCTGTTATTTCATCCAAGTGTCAGAAACTGGGCATCTGTTCTAGCAATTTAGTACTTCGTTTGCCAACTACTTCACAAATTGTAACACCTACTGCCTTTGCTGCAAGGACTGAGAAATCCCACCCATCACCTACATGTCCTAAGAATCAGGTATTAGTGAGAATAAAAGGCATCAGTACTGCCACACTGTGCTCCAAAGACTGTCATTCACTTATGTCATGGTATGTGTTTTGCTGCTTTCTGGATTCATAGTCTATTAATCTGCCTATAACCACAGCATTTGGTCTGACACCTTTCCTTTGTCCTGCATTCCTCCTATGATTTACTTCATCTTTACTACTCCACATTAAGCTCCTTTTCCATCCTTTCAAGTTCCTTTCTCCTCACAAAGCAACAACATAATTTATTAAAATCTTTCTACATCGAACATGGAAAACTAAAGATAATGCCTCAAAGCATCTCTTGCCTTACTCTCAGGACAATGCCCAGATAAAGATGACAGTATAGTCACCAGACTGGATGTAGGCTGGGTATAATACAGCAAGGTTCCTCCTTTGTAAAATAAGCCACCAGAATCAAGGAACAGACATGAATCTTTAAAACACACACACAAAAAAAATTGCGTGTCTTAAGAGCTGCAGCTTGACATCAACACATAAACAGAAAGAACGTAGAAGCAGATACTGCACTGGTGCACCAAAAGAAGAGTAGTCCTAAATTTGGGGGCTTTTAACATAAATTAACACATGCCCTGTTTGTCTTCCATAAGAGCTGGAATATGCTAATAGAATTTCAGTAATAAACCTGCATATTCTTATATGCATTGTACAGAGATATATAACCCCATGTACTACATTTGTCACTTATATTTCCATATATTTCCATTTGCTGTAAATCAGTTTTTGTTTCCCTATCTTTTCCCCAGCCTCTATTTTCAGTTTTTTGCTGCCCTGGCAGTCACAGCAATTTCCATAGTGACAAAGAAATGGTCATATCACCTGCATTGCTTTGATGAGCATCAGAACAAAAGTTAAAGAAAAACCAAACTATACACAAGCTAAACTAAAGTACCAGGCTCATCTTTCACTGTAAGCTATCTTGGGACAACAGATCAAAACCAACAGCCTTAGATTTACGGGAAACAGAGTAGTAGTGTTACTTCATCCCTGACTGAGGATTTAACAACAACAACAAAAAAAACCAAAAACCACAAAAAAACCCCAAAAACTCACCCACCCAAACAAGAACAAATCACACCAGAAAAACCCCACCCACACATAGCAACATGTACCAGTTATAAGGAAGACACACTCCTTTCTTGTCAGGCCTGATAAAGGAATCATGAATATGAAAGGTTGCATCATTTTGCCAACTATTTTACTCTAACAAAAGTTAGTACCTGTCATACAAAGCCTGCTACTCAAAGTAGAAAATCTGATTTTCCTAAAAATAATAAAACAGATCAACGGATCTTCCCTATAATAGCTGCTTTCATGCATGGAAGGTGTCTAAACAGATGCTCAGAGCTTCAAATCAGGAATCAATCCCTATTACACATCAGATTTTTAACCGAGCAGAGCCTGGCAGTTTTGTGCCTCCAAAGACAATGTGCTGCCCCACGTAACTCTAAGCACAGTACACACAAAATTTCAGAAGAATTTAGCTATCTAAATTTCTGAAGACTCCAATACACACCAAGTACAATCAATACGCCTTTTTAGAGAGCCTCAATGAGCTGAATTTCTTAAATGATCCACTCTGATTTCTACTACAACATAGTAATGTAAGTTCTTAAATAACTCAGACTATTAAATCTGGAATTCTATAAAACTTGATTGTATTATTTTGGGCAAGATGAACCAAATCCTTCAGATACCATAATGATGGCTTTAAGAATAAATCTCAACATTAACCTTGGATAGATATAACCAGTATCTCTGAATTTCAGAGCTATATTCCAGTATTTTTTTCAAACAAGAAATAAAGAGTCCAAATTAAATAAAGAAATCTGTTGTTTCATGTTATAAGCTTTCATAGTTCAAAGATACATACAAGCACTGAGATCTAAGTCTCAATTTTTCTATCTACAAACTAGTAGAGCCACAGACTCTAAATGCAAAAATTATCAGAGAAGTAGATCGTGTGTATTTAGCAAAACTGTAGTGAAATTTTAAAAAACACCTCAGACAATCTCAGGGTTGTTTTCAGTTTTCCTTATATTGCAGCTAGACAGTGCAGAAAAATGGCAACTTGTTAGCCAAACTCATATTTAAAGGGGCACACAGTTGCCACAGCCTGGCAGCTCTCGAAGTGGAGCAAGACAAAAATTCACTTATCTTTTGGGGCTGGGTTACAGTAAGGTCTGAAACAAGTGTTTTGTCAGTGTTCTCAGCTAACCTGTACTTTTAAGTTATTACAGCTGACAGATGCTCAAAATACTGTCACTAATAGCTGTCAGTTCTAAAGATGCCCATTTGAATAATTCGGGGAAGAATTCCATATTAATGCTGAAGTCATAAGTAATTCACACCATGTACGTAGCTGCAAAGATCCCTGACAGGAGTTTTTCCAGATCTGCCCCTGCATTACTGTGTTGCAGGAGATCAGTCACTTATGACTATATTAACTTTCTTCTCCCTAGCAATTTTATTAGCTGCATAAAAGTTAATAAGCAGTTAAGATACCACGTAAAATGGACCATGAAGAATTAGAGGGCACTATAAGGCTCCATGAAGTGATGGCATTTGATCTAAGAAAGAGTCCAGATTTTCTTCCAATCTCCTAAATTAAAGTGCACATGAAAAGTAAACCACACTCATACATGAGGATTTCTTTTTTTAAACAGCAGCTAAGCAAGACTCATCTTAAAAGTAAGACCAAGAATTCCTAGGTTTTTAAGAAATATTTTTTTCAGGAACCAGAACTTCCTCAACGTTGGTATCAATCTCTGCCCAACTACCTGTGACCAAGCAAGAAAAACTTATGCATTACACGTGTTACATTGTTCAAGTCATGAAAGCTCTCACACCATCACTACTTCTATCTCTGCATCCTCAGAGTGTTTCCCATCGCGCATTTGTTCGAGAAAGTGCCTGGAAAGGCGACTGTGAAAGACAAGGATTTTATGAACAACACGGCCTTCTACGAAAGGCACCTACAAGATTCAGAAACAAAGCTAAGGTTAGCTGATTTTCACCGCGTTATTACCGATATATCTGCCGTATTAAAACTTCCATGTCACCAAGGTTACATAAGGCCTGCATACCAAGTTCATCGTGCAAACTGCTACCGCCTACAGCAGATGCAGTGGCATGTGATGCTTCTAAGTGGACACTCCCATTTCTCACCAGCAAGGAGGCGCTAGCGCCGAGCACAGCTGCCTGGGAAGGGGGGCGGGACTGCACTCTGACCTGGGAGGAGGGCTGCTGGCCTTGCTGACCATCTTGAAGGCTACAAGAAAACACGGATTGGGGACACATTACCAGGAAGAAGAGAAAAATAGCTAGAAGTGAAGCAAAACAAGACTTTTTAGTTTAAAGAGTATAGCATTAAGAAACCACTTATTAGGGTTAAGATAACCCTCAAGTTCTGTGTAACAGAATATCTGGACACTAGTTAGACCAGTAATCTAGAGATACAGTTCCTGTCCTGCTCCTTAGAAGTAGTATTGCTTTCTAACATCTCCCTAACTCACCCACAAGTATATTCTTCTAAGTCCCAGTTTGTGTATGGAAAAGCAAATTAGTGGTGGTTAGTCTAATTGTAGACTCACCTGAGGTAGCACCTACACACAGTAGTGATTATTCCAGTCTTCTCACAATAGTTAGAATTCTTTTTGCTCACTGAGGTATGACTTGATCGACTGTTTAGTTGGCTTTTGGGGTTGTTTTGGTCACAGTAGCATCACCTTTCTTCCTATTAATCTGCACACTAACTAGAAAATGTCTTTAAGTTTTGTTAGTAGCCATGCGCTACCACAGACCTTGTAGATAACTGTCATTAAACATTTGGATTCAGAATTTTTTTAACATATTAAGAACGATTAGAGCAAATTACTAATTGGCAAAAGTTTTAAGTCCATTTTGAAGTTATTTCGACAGTACAGCAAAAACTTTATTACTCAGTACTACTGCCGCAAAGAAATTCTTCTATACCCAGACACATACCTCACCAAAAACCAAGTTTTAAAAGGCAACTGGGGCTTCAGAGAAATTTCTAAGTTTACAGCCATATGAGTAGACAATGCTTGAAGATGTTTTTCTCCTCTTCACAGCCTTCTCATTGCAAAACTATTTTATAAAGCTATTTAACAATGTTAATTTGTTTTTAATAGCTTGTTTAATGTTAAACATGGTGAATTGTCAGAATACATGACACAATTAGTGTTTTTATTATCCTTCATTTTGTGCGTTATAAGACATATAATGTCAATACCATCTGTGGGATGTGATGAAATTAAGAAATTTTTTTTTTAGACAAAGGAAATGGTATTTTAAAGACTATGGAAAAGATCTTAAACACTCTTTTGAAAAAAAACAATCTTTATCACCTGTTGCCTTTAACATTTCACTGTTTACAGTGTGATGCTACAGTTGGCATGTGAGGGAACTGAAAAAGCAAGATCTTACTAAGAGTTGAGGGGTTATAACTGGTGTACTTGCTTTTAACAATATTTTCTAGAACATTTACTTTTCAGTTCTTTTGTTAGAGCACCACTGGAAAACAAAATATGGATATAGGTATAAGAATACGTATTAAGAAAAGCTCATGCAAAGTAAAGCAGACATGCACACAGCTCATGAGGTAAAAAATTGCAATTCATTATTTATTGTACTCTAACATATTTTAATCTGAACTTTAAATGTGGCGTTTTGCTGCTGTACACAAGGCTTTCAGCAAGCTACATGGCAACAAAGGCCCTAAGGAAGCTCCCAGATATGCGAGCCTTCATTGCCTCCCTTATGTCTTACCAGCAACACCAAAACAATGCTAAACAATACTGCTTTCCCTTAAATTGTATATACTTTTTGGTAGGTAGCTACTAAGTTGCCCTTTCAGTAGTTATCCATATCACAATTAAAAAAAAAAACAACATTGACATTAACAGATCGCACAGATGAGCAAAAGATGCATTTAGTCTCTGCCTAATTAATAACTATAAAAATAAAACTCTGCTTCAGACAGTCACTTATGTTCTTGTATAGGACACACATGCATACACCATTGACTACACAGGATGCCAATGCATACTTATGTTTAAAGTGTCCAAAACGCTGTTGACATTTATGCAGGCCAAAAGCAGGAGGGGTTGGTTTTTTGGGGTGGGTTTGGGATTGTTTTGGGGTTTTTTGCCTTTTTTTTTTTTTTAAGTTACCAAAGTACTCTCGTGTCTAATTTAGCATCAAACCAGCAGACTTTACTAGACCAGGTTTTATGTAACTGTCTACCATTGCCAAACACACACATATATAATGCCATTGTCTCTTTTACCAAACATTCCACAGAGGAAGTGAAAAGTAATTGCAATAATCGATAGGAAATTTAAAAGTTTAAAAAAAAAAAAAAAGAAAAATCGGGTTGAACTCAACAGGTTCTAAGGGAACATCCCCACAACATCCAATTTTATGCCAGAGTTAGAAGATTACGAGATTAAAGTTTTGCTGGCAAGAATAAGAAAGAAGTAACATCAGGGCAACTAAAGATTAGTAAATCTAATACTGTTAGAAGTTTAACATCTCAAGTCATATGGATTAGCAATATCAGGAATTAGACTGAGTCAGCTCACCACTAGCATATATATGTAATGCCGGTACAGTTGCAGTGGTATTTTGAAAAGATCTTGGTGGTAAGTGGCTAAAAGAAATCCTCTGTATTTCTCCCTATTTCTTCCTTATGTACAGTCCGTTTTTTTAATCTTTCTTAAGGGTTTCTTCTTCCAGCAACACACAGAATTTACACTAAAATAAAGCTACCCATATAACCAAGTTTTTTTCAGACTATTCATCTTGAAATCAGAAAAGTAATAAACACAATTTTTCAGATACTCCACAGCTAGTAGTTCAAATGGAATTTATGTCAAACCAATCTGAAGGCACTTTTGTGTTTGGTTGTACTAAGGCAATTTAAGTCCACTCCAAGGGACAGCTATTTAGCATCACAAACAATGCTTTGAGTAAAGTAACCTCATTAGGTATTCAATTCTGAACATATGTTTGTAATACAAGTATTTTTGATAATGTGTGTCATTCTGTCAGAGAAAGTACAGAGTTTTTTAGGGGGTTTGGTGGGGGTTTTTTTCATTTAGAAAGGAACAAATTTAGATAACCCAAAGATGCACAGAGGAAATACAAGGCCAGAATATTTGATCCGCTTTTTCACCCTTGAACATCTTGTCCAAATAAAAACCAGTTTCAGTTTTCTCATCATCTCTCACTGAAGCACAGCTTAAGCCATGGGAACCTTAATGACTACACTAGCATGTGAAAATGAGGTGGCTGTCAGCCTCAGTTTAAAACAGAGTCCTTCATTTGCCCTACTTTCTACCTGTCTAAGAGAAAGACAACTCACTGTTTTCTGGCTAATGCACAGTTAAGGAGCTCCAATTAGTCTGATCCACAGCCTCTTGTAAGTCAATACACAAAAATATACTACCCTCCTTTAAAAAAAAAAAAAAAAAGGAAAACAAAACAACCCAGAATACAAAAAATACCAGAAGCAAGTGAATGCAATGGAGCATAGAGCAAAAGTGATCTAAGAGAATGAAAAGTTTTAGCATCACTCACTATGACATAAATCGCTGTAAGTTGAACAAGATACGTTCAGCAAGAGCAGAAGCCTTAAAAGAGTTTTCTGAAATGATGCAATTACTGCTACATACTGCACTAGCCAGCAAAAACACATCTAACTAGTTTCAGTCCTTGATGTGGCAGAAGTCAATCCTTCTAGATTTTAGGTACATTCTCTCAACCCTCCTGCCTGAGGAAAATGTACAAACAGCCCTTGCTTATTTCAGTGGCGCCACAAAGATGGCACAATTCCTCCTCCATCCTTTATTGTAAGTTATTTTCTTTTTATTTGCTCAGTTCCTATACCTTTTTCCAGTTAAAAAATTTACACAAGTATTCCTGAAACACAAAAGCAGACTGCTCCTATTATTAAAGGACAGCTTAGCATTTGAAGGAAGATCATTAAGAATATACAACATATATAATTATTCCTGCATATTTATTACTGGAGGAAGAATTACTTCTATATGTATGGGGGAGTGTTCCTTCCTCTACAGACAATATTCTGCTCACCAGATTCTCCAATACCTTAGGCAACCACAGGATTGAAAGACTTAAAAGCAAGTTTAAAAACTTACTGTGGTTGCTGCTTCCACTGTTTAAGCTGACAGACCAGAGTTGCTGTATGTAACGTATCACTAGGCTCAGGACTGTTAACAAATGGGCCAGTGAAAGCTGGGAACTCCTGGGATACATGTATATAGTACATTTTAAACATTGCCAAGGCATGCAAAATGCCACGCAATTAGATTTAATACTGAGCAATACTGTGCATTCTATAACAAAGGCATCATAATTACTTCATTATTTCTCTTTTGCTGTAAAAAGCTGCATGATGTTCATACAATAGTTTACCTCTATTTTAGACTTGGAACCTTTGCATGTACAGTTTATCCCTTTATAATGTTCTGCCATTTTGCTACTCTATTTATCTCTACCTACCTACGGATGTGAGAAGCGATCACAGTACTAGTGCTTAAAGCTTATTTTCTTAAAGGAAAGAAAACCAAAATGAAGAGCGATGAATATTTTCTTGTTTTTTTCTCCTCACTTCAAAGTAAAAGTTTCTACAGTTTTTAATAGAAAACACTGAGCCTAAGTCTGTTAGCATTAGTTCATTTTGTTATCAATCTGAAATCAGCTATAACATGTTAGAGACTGGCTATCCTGATCATTTTGAAAATAGTGCCACATACACATGCACAATTCAACAAGCCCACAGTGACATGCAGTGACAGCTCAAGGAGGTTATGGTGGGGAAGGAAGTAAAAAGTGCTTTTCTGGCAACACCGGTGGGTGTGGGGAAGAAGTGGTCTGCTGCATGCATGCTAAATATGGTGGAACATTTAGATACCCTACCTGAGGGGTGATCCGATGAGCAATGTAGGAGGGGTAGGGTTACTCCCTGCATTGTGCCGGCGTCGTACTGCCTGACGCCTAAATGTGCTGCGTTCACGACGAAATGTGACAGTCTCCTCGCTGGCTTGTGCTGCTGCATCAAGACAGACTTTAGGTCAAATAAGAACCCATCCTAGTTACGTACACAGTAACTTAAGACTCCTTTCTTCCCCCTGACCCTCCCCAAGTTAATGAACTGGCAACAATGAAAGTAGCTTATGCGCTGACTGTTCAAATAACCTGCCTCAGGACAGGCTCACAACACAATTATTGGTAAAAATTTTGGTGGTTGGGTGTTTGGGGGGCTGGGGGGGGGGCAGGGCGGAGTTCTTGAATATACAACTTGCTTGCTGTGTTCTGGGTTTTTTTTTTACCCGCAGACCCAAATAGCCAGGTTGCAAAAAGACTTGGATATCCTAAATCTCTTCTATTTACACAGGGCAGGAAGAGACAAGACTTATCTCACCCTTTACCTCTTTTAATAGATAATTAAAGGAGAAGCCTAAAGAACAACCTAGAAAGGTTTTCTGCCACTCCTCACCATAATATTCTCTTTGCAATTTTATAATTTCTGCCAAACAGGCAGGGCTGAGGTTAACCTCATCACACCTCCTCAGGGGACAAAATAGAGTTGCTTTTTCCTCATAAGCACCAAGTGATACATGTTGCTCATTTTATACTAGTTACACTATAGTTCAGAGGAGCAGAAGGTTGAGATTCAGTAAGAGAGTAACTCCTTTGTAAGGATTGGTAAACCAAAAAGGTTTGGTCCACTTATAAAGCAATACTAAAAAACAGCTTGTATGTACTCAAGGGAGTCCAAGATCTTTCCACAGATTACCCCCCAAAATCCACCTGTGCTCCCTAAGCTTCACAGTCAGAACAACTTCGGATTTGGATTACTTCATGGCGTGTCTACAATCTCAAATCCTTATCTTGAACAAAGGAAGCTACTAATCAATTTGAATACAGAGCACTAGAGAGCTCAAATGAACGGGTTGCAGAGAAAATAGGTTTTTGGCAGGCAAGTGAAGAAGGAGGGGGAAAAAAAAAACACCAACAACAATTTGACATGAAGTCAGTGCAAGAGGAGAATGACAATCTTGAAGGGGAAGTCACAACTTGGTAGCCAAGAAGCCTGTTACTAGAGGAAGAAAACCAAGGATTGTGTCAAGCCAAAATAAAATGAGAAAACACACCAAGGGAGCAATGCCTTTTTATGGCAGAAAGATCACAGCCAGATTAGTCCATGTTCACTTAAGCACATTTCAAGTTACAACATTCCTGTCACTAAGCTTCCAAAACTTACCAGCAAAGATGCTAATGCTGGTCTACAAGGAATAGTAACCTACTACTGTTGTGTACTACTGCCATAGCTCAAGCAATAAAGGCTGCATGGAACAAGAATCTAATTGCACCCATGAACCACAGGTTATCAAGTGAATACTGTATATGAAACTTCAATCTGTAGTTTGCTTTAAAAAAAAACTAAGAAACAACATGAAGAGATGCAGTTTAAGACCAACATTAAAGTTACATTTCATTACCAAATCGTCAAAAGTTAAGGACATCCTTAATTCAGACCTTTCCTATATTTTCAGGAAAACTGTGGCATTGATAACTTTCTCCTCACTCCTCCACAACTATTTTTGTTATTCTAAGCATGAATAGATGATACTTCCTTTTCAGCATATTTCAGCAAGTACTCAATATATTTCTCTTGAGATTTATTATAAAGCTTTATGCTTTGTTTTAATACACAGCCTAATTTCCTCAAGGATTATACAGAATCATAGAAGAGTGTGGGTTGGAAGGGACTTTAAAGGTCATCTAGTCCAAACGCCCTGCAATGAGCAGGGACATCTTCAACTACATCAGGCTACCCAGAGCCCTGTCCAACCTGACCTGGAACGTTTCCAGGGATGGGGCATCTACCACCTCTCCGGGCAACCTGTGCCAGGGTTCCACCACCTTCATTGTGAAAAAATTCTTTCTTGTATCTATTCTAAATCTGCCCTCTTTTAGTTTAAAGCCATTACCCCTTGCCCTATTGCAACAGGCCCTGCTAAAAAGTCTGTCCCCATCTTTCTTAGAAGCCCCCTTTAAACACTGGAAGGCTGCAATAAGGCCTCCCCAGAGCCTTCTCTTCCCCAGGCTGAACAACCCCAACTCTCTCACCCTGTCTTCATAGTAGAGGTGCTCCATCCCTCTGATAATTTTTGTGGCCTCCTCTGGACCCCCTTCAATGGGTCCATGTCTTTCCTGTACTGAGGGCCCCAGAGTTGGGACGCTGTCCTGGTTTCAGCCAGGATGGAGCTGGTTTTCTTCGCAGAGGCTGGTGCGGGACTGTGTTTTGGATTTGGGATGAGAAGCTGTTGATAATGTGCTGATGTTTTGGGTTGCTGCTGAGCACGGTAGGGCTGTTCTCAATCCCTTCATCCCCCAGCCTGTACTGATCCCCTAGTTGCCTTGACCCAGGTGCAGGACCTTGCACGTGGCCTTATTGAACCTCATGAGGTTCACATGGGCCCATTCCTTGAGCTTGTCCAGGTCCCTCTGGATGGCACCCCATCCCTCAGGCATGTCATCCATACCACTCATCCTGGTGTCTTCTTCAAACTTGCTGAGGGTGCACTCGATCCCACTATGTCACTGATGAAGATATTAAGGAGTACTGGTCCCAATAGGGACCCCTGAGGGATGCCGTTCCTCACCAATCTCCATCTGGATATTGAGCAGTTGAGCACTACCCTCTGGATGTGACCATTCAACCAATTCCTCATCCACCCAACAGACCACCTATCAAATTTGTATTTCTCCAATGCAGAGAGAAGGATGTTGTGGGGGACTGTGTCAAAGGCCTTATGGAAGTCAAGATAGACAACATTGGTAGCTCTTCCCTTGTCCACTGATGTAGTCACTCCATCACAGAAGGCCACTAGGTTGGTCAGGCAGGACTTGCCCTTGGTGAAGCCACGCGGGCTGTGTCTAAACACATCCCTGTCTTCCATGTGCCTTAGCATAGCTTTAGGAGGATCCGTTCCATGATCTTCCCAGGCACAGAGGTGAGGCTGACAGGTCAACAGTTCCCAGGGTCCTCCTTGCTACTCTTTTTAAAAGTGGGTGCAATGTTTCCCTTTTTCCAGTCTCCAGGGACTTCACCTGACTGCCAGCATTTTCAAATATCATGGAGAGTGGCTTGGCAACTACATCAGCAGATTCGCTCAGGACTCCGGGATGCATCTCATCAGGTCCCATAGACATGTGCATGTTCAGGTTCCTCAGGTGGTCACAAACCTGATCTTCTCTTACAGTGGTAAGAACTTTGCTCCTCCAGTCCCAGTCTTGCAGACCATCCCCTTGAGAGGTGTGGGAAGAGACACTGACAGTGAAGACTGAGGCAAAGAAGTCATTGAGTATCTCAGTTTTCTCCTCATCCATTGTTGCCAGTTTGCCTGTCTTGCTCATCAAGGGGGGTACGCTTTCTTTGACCTTCCTTTTCTGGTTGATGTATCTAGAGAAGCCCTTCTTACTCTTCTTTGCATTCCTTGCCAAGTTCAGCTCCAGCCGTGCCTTGGCCTTCCTGACCCCATCCCTACACAACTGGGAAGCATCCCTGTACTCACCCCAGGATACCTGTCCCTGCTTCCACTACCTGTGCATTTCCTTCTTGCCCTTTAGTTTTTCCCATCAGGTCTCAACTCATCCATGCCTGTCACTTGCCTTCCTTTCCTAAAGTTCCTTTTCTTACACCTGGGAATCGACAGCTCTTACACTCTGTGGAAAGCATCCTTAAAGATCTGCCAGCTCTGTTCTGTTCCCTTGTCCCTGAGTGCCATTTCCCAGGGGGTCCTATTGACTAACTCCCTGAAGAGATGGAAGTTTGCTTTCCTAATAGCTCTCAGACTTAAATACTGGGAAAGAAAAACACACTAAACAAGACAGTACGAATACTGACTTTTTTTCTGGTGGATTAAGTTAACACACACAAGATTTAAGCTGCCCACTAATTTTGAGTGCCAATTCGTAAAGCTGAATTTTTCCAGTGTACATCAACATATAAGAACTCATATATTCACAACACAGCTTCCACTGACTTCAGATGTAAAAGCAATTCCACAAGTTTCTGCTAATCAGGCCATAGTTAAGCACTGCAAAATAAAGAACAGTGACTAGTCTTAACTGAAATGTACGCATCTTAGTTACCATTAAGATGGTAAACACCAGCATTATATCTTAATTATGATTTGCAAAAGCAGCATTCAAGCGCAGTTCTTCAAGGCAGCATACTTAACACTGACAACATCTGCTTTTCTTTTCAGATCCTTCATTCAGTAAACATCACCTTCTGCAATAAATGAAGCCCAGATTATGGAAACACTAAAGGTCCTTCCTACACACCTCCAGTTTATCACTAAAGCAAGTGTACCTCAAGCACTGACTGAGGCAGTGTCCTGTGAGAAAAATAGAGAGATACAAACATCTTTGAAGATAAGATGAATTTTTACTTTTAAATTTACTATGTTCTTGGGGATTAAATTCAAAGCTGCACAGGAAAATATGTCTGGCACTTGCTAACTTTTTATTATTTCACTTCAACCTTTAAATATCAAAGTAGATTTTGGTGTAGCTTTCTACCTTATCTACCAAGGGGTTTTTTATTATCTTGAACCTTTTGTTCAATGCACATCTTCTATGTACACTCTTCCTGAATGTAGGTGGTGACATTCAGCATCACTAAGCAAGTCTGTACATTCTTTCGAAAAGACTGCAGAGCTTTTCAGTCCAATAAGCTCGGAGTCTGCTAACATTATGCAACATCTCAAGAAGCTACATGTTGAAACCATGACTAAGAAAGTGAAAAAACCCTCTAGTTGAACAGAAAGGATTACAGTTTGTTCAAAGTGTGGAAAGCCAAACTGAGCAGAAGTTTGGGTTTGGTTTTAGTTGTTCGGGAGTTTTTTTAAAATCTTTTTAAAGAACACACAGGATTAAAAAAATACAACAATATGGAAAACTGCTTATGTTAACATGTATTATTTGTGTTTCTTCTTGTCTTTAATGACAAGGAGCAGTACAGCTGCTTGTGAGTTC